TAGGGCTCTGGTCTTGCAACTGTGAGGCTGGAAGATTGCATATTGAAATCCCAGTTGGAAATCGCTTCACCATGTTGCTCCAGGTACTTCACTTAGATTTCTGCAGTAAAAACCCTGCTTAATAAACGCATACAAATTGAAGATGCTTTGGATAACACCATCAACAAAATAAATTAATAATAATAACAGCACATTAACTGAGTGATGGAACCATGGGAAGAGTTTCCCTTAATAATGACTACTGTAAGTGCTTATTCAAAAATTATTGTTTTCCTACTGTATATAAATACTTGAGTTAATAATTTTATGTATTTATATTGTCAATTTTTTGTCAGTATTATTGTCAACTCTTGTAAGCTAAAGAGTCTCAAAATATCTCACAGAGCACATTACATAGATTATATTAAATATAATATACAGTACATAAAGTTTTTTAATGTTTTGAAACAATGTATTAAAGACCAAAGAGAAGACATTTGATTATACATTTGTCCTGTCATTCCATAGAATAATATCTGTTCCGCACTTGTCCCATTCTTCAAAGAGTCCAAGAAGCTTCTTAATTGTATCACTTATGTCCTGTATTAAGAATTATTGAAGAAAATTACCTTTTTAGGAACATATACTTTCTTTCAAATCTGTAATTAATAACAAGTACTTCAGAAAGGCAATTCATTGTTCACATGTCACTGAATTCCATTGATTTAATGTTGTTTTGAAAATAGAAGAAAATAGAAATGTAAACAGCTGTCAGCAGTAAAACCCAGGAAGCAGCCTGCAGAACTAAAATTAAACATTATTAGAACTGCCATGGTATAGAATAAACATTCATCATTGACTGGCTTTTCCTATGGAGGTCTTGAGCCTATCGAGGTCTTGTATATGTAGTAATGAGAACATAAATAGAGAGACAATAGATAGGGGGAGTTGTCATATAAATGAGCTGCTGTCCTGCTGTCTGTGAAAGAAGAGTCATTAATTTCCTGCGCATACATGAGAGGAGCCTGCACCGTCCAGTCTCTCTGAACGGTATAAAGTTAGTCCTTTTATACAGTATAGCTAACAAAGTTTGGCATATACATCACATAATGCAATATCCTTTACAAATGTTAATACACAATGTTCTTGAGCTGGGTTAACAGACAAACCATTCTACGACGGTATATACTATGTTAAGTGTTAGAGCACACCTTCAGAAAAGAGGATACAGTATGTGGTAAACATTTCATAAGGCATTGTGCTCATGTTATTCTAAATCATGCTGACACAGCACATACCCTTGTGATGCTTAAAGACGCACAAAGGTGAACATTTAATTATTTGCCGAGAAGCAAGAAAGATTGAAGAAGAGTAGTTTAACATTTATTAATTTCTCAGTGGTAAACCAAATAGAGCAGAAATAAAGACCAGTATCATTTATCACCCTCCTCTTCCTACAGAGCTTGAACGTGAGCTGTGTGAGACATCCCTGTTCTGATTACTCCACTATAATTGAATCCTGAGACTAGAAACGTTCTCTCCTAGTTTGGTGGTTTGGGGGATTGATTCCCATTCACTTTTGGACATCTGCATTGTAGGAAGGGAAATTAAGTTTTCAATATGATCCATTTTTATTAGGATACAGGTAGTTTTATTGGTATATGGATTACAGGATTTGAGCATGAGTCTGAGTTCACATTGTGTCATAGGGTAACTGTTGAATAGTTTTAGAAATTATTGCTAATATTTGTCCTGTTTGTCCAAACTAGGTGGGCAATAACATAGATGCAACAGTGTCTTTTCACAAAATGCATGCCACCACTCATCCCTGGTTTGCATTCACATGACTAATTCTGTATACTGTATGTAAAGTAGGCTCATCTTGTGCTAAACATGCTTTTCAAGCCATGTGTCCATCTATCTGCCTGCCTGCCACACCACTCTGTTGCTTCTGTCACAGTGTGAATGACCCTGGACCCATGTTACTAACCCACCGGTCTTCTGTCTGTTCTTGACTCGTTTAACAGTCGGCACACCCAGGGAGATGTGAGTCAGTGGGATGATCCTGAGGCAGGCTCTGTAGCTGATAACAAGCCGACCTCCCGCCACTTCTACCCTGTCGCCCTACTGCTTGTCAGCTCCCACTTGCTGGTCGTGTGGCTTATTCTAAGTCTTGTTTTTCTGCTTGCAAAGTATCAATAAACTGCTGATTATATCCTGATTAGAGTTTACTGTGTAATTTTCTTACTGTACATATGTTATAATTTGGTTTTTAAATCTGCAGATTTAGAATACAAAGAGAACATCGTGACATTCCTCTGTTGCTTTCTATTGGCTTCTTTTTATCTGCCAAGCCTGTGCTGTAATTGAGAACACCCTGCTTACAGCTGTCTAATCACACTGCTCAAAATCCTAAAGAATAAGAGGAATTTTTGCTGACATTATCAATCTGGGGATCCTGAGTGACATCCAAAGCTGTTTCTTGTGTTCATTAAATGAAACGTAATTTAAAAAGATGCATTCATCTTTTGTTAACAGCTAAATTTATTTTACAGTTTCAGCTCTGATTTTATTCAGTTAATTTTTTTCAAAATGTTAACAATACAGTCATAGGTTTTGTGATGATTTATATGCCATTTATATGGCACCCCTGGAGCAGTTGGGGTTAAGGGCCTTGCTCAGGGGCCCAACGGAGTAGGATTCCTCTGCCGGCCACAGAATACGAATACGAACTGGCAACCTTCCAGCCACAGGCGCAGGTCCTTAGCCACAGACCCACTGCACCTCCCCTGCTGTTTATGCTGTTATTGTTCTGGTGCTCTATGAAAACACAGGTGATCGATGCCACAGATATGAAAACACAGTCTAAGGTTTGCATCAGTTTATTAACCACATGCATATTGTTCTTTACATTTTAAAATAATAAGCAGATGGGTTTGTTTTTTATTTGATCCATATTGATCCTTGAGATAATAAAAGCTGACCACAACTAATGCTGTTAATAATACTATTTCATAAAAACAGCATTTGCTTCTTGTTAATCATTTGAGCTGAGATAGAATTGAGTTAGAATGGGTTGATTTAGCAAAATTAGTAGAAATAGACACTCAAAAAGACATGATTTTTTAATACAACAAGACTGAAAGATATAACCAAGAATAAAAATGCTTCTGTTGAAGATTGCCAGTAATCTGTCAATGAGAGCAGGTGCCCAGGGCCCGAGATGTTCTGCTCTAACCATCAGGAGGCTTGTCCAGGGAAACAAATAAATCAATCATGTGACATCCTGGAAGGCAGAGGGTCTCCAAACCATGATATCTGACTCATCTGCATCATCATTTTCCGACTGCAGTGGCTACTGCCAAGGAATTCAAGGAAGAAATAGAGATAATGCAAGCATCAATCCACTGTAGCTCAGTATCAGCTGAAAATAATTTGTGTGCTCGGTGGCCATTCAGAGGTTATACCTACGTCTGAGAGATGACCATCTTCTGTGGGCAAAAGAAAATCCAAGGTGGTGGCAGAGAAGAGCGGTGAAGTGTTTTATTCACTGACAAATGACATTTTGTATGCATGGAGATGTTGCAGTGAGTGTTTTGCTGTTTAATTGTTCAAGCCAAAAAGTGGGAAATTGGGATTATAATAGTCTAAGAAAACAGTGTCAAGGCGAGCTCTTTCCTCCTGATCTGAGTATAATTCAAAATCCATGAGAATAACTTGCCACTAATAAAAAAAAAGCAACAACCTAGCTTTTACCAGCTGACTGCAGCTATACGAGACTGGCACAGCATCCCACAGCAGTCTGTCAGGAGGCTGATTAAGTCTGTTTGTCACTGTGTCAGTACTGCCAGGATGGTTTTAGTACTCAAGGAGGTCAAATGTAATACTAACTTTGCATTGTTTTCATTTTGACAGTATGTTACACTTCCTACCAATAACTTTGATCTGTATTGGTGTTCACACTTCCTGTAATTTTGATTCTATCCATTAGCTGTGAACGCTGTATTACTATTCAGAATCAGTAAATGTTAGAGGTTAGAAAGATCCAACATGTTCTAGTCTACAAGAATAAGGCCAAATAATTTATACTGCGTTTTAAAATATATACTGTAGTACCTAAAATCTGTAACAATGCAAAAGAAAATGTCTTTGAGTTTGATGGTAGTAGGCATTGCCTTGAATAGTATATTTGGTTTCATTTGTAACCTTTTGGCATTTTTTTCTCTAGCAATCATTAAGTAAATATCCACTTCTTTGCAACTTGTGATCTTATTACTTTTTAATATGCTAATCATATTCTATTGATGGATGGTTTAAGTGTCTTTTGACTGTTGTATCCAAATAGTTTGATCAAATAGGGAAAACCCTCTTTAGTAGTTTGTACAATATATGTGCATCTATTTGTCAGTATAATGTGTGTGTATATATATATGATGTAAATGTTTTTTACTCAAACTGTTTCTTTAAAGCTGGTGTATAAATAGGTTTTTAAAATTTGAAACAAATCATGTATTTTATGGGAAATCAAATGCATGCGCTCAGTATCAGATAGGAAAGCCTTCAGCTATGAAACCCATTCTATGTTAATACAGTACTCTAAGTACCCATAACATAGATTAGTGATGTTTATGAAAACGGTTCCAGATAGGATTAATTTGTAAAGGTTTTATGGTGTGTTTGAGGTTTCTATAATAATGTTTCTGACACACTAATGACTCGATAATAATAATAATAATGATAGTACACAACATGATGCGGAGCCATTTGTGTTTTGTTCCATTAACTCATTTATTCAGATGACAATCTGTACGGGAATCCTTCTTAGTCACATGTTTGGATTGTCTTTTTATTTCAATGGACTGTACCTGCTGAAAATATATTTTCCGGTTTGGTTTGCCTGAGGCTTTTAACTACCTGCTGGCAGCATTTATTATTGTGTATACAAGTGAAATTGTTTCCTTTGATTTTCTTCTTTTTATTTTCGATTATGATTTGACCTTATTTTCTCCCTCGTTTACCAGAGAAGGATGCCGGATTGAGAACGTGCAGAAGAACATCAAGTGCAGAAAATATGCGTTCAACATGCTGCAGTTGATGGCTTTTCCAAAGTGCTACAGACCTCCAGAAGGCACCTATGGAAAGGTTGACTCATAAACAAATTAGCTTAAAATTGACATGTAGGGACTGATCCAACAGCCAGAAACCAATTCACTGCTGATGCGTAGAACGGTGTGTCCAGGGCATGTGGACATAAACACTGTTGTGTCTCTCCTCTTAAAGGTATTTTTATGTTTAAACGTGATGAAAAACGATGTGAGTGTATTTTGAAAGTAAGAGTTTTATTTAAGCCAAGTATTAACTTTCCCATTTCAGGAAAAATTCAGTGAAGGAAAGTTTTTGTGTGCTTTATGTGTTTTGATACAGGCAATGATCCTGCAGCCAATGTATTTTAAATAGTTATAATTTGCATGATACCAATGAGAGCACTTTTTTTACCGTATTTACTCTTTTGGTATGCACCATACCACAGTGCATAACCGGAGCAGCTTATTTTTCCACTCAAACAGGACCTTGGGCAGCACTTTTTAAGGGATCTCTGAAGTTAGCACACAGCTAGAACATATACAGTACTGTATGAAAAGATTTAATTTGCATTTGTTGTGTCATTGATCAATAAAGAGCTCTAAGCACTTCAGTTTGATGCACTTCAGACAGAACCCTCATTATTTGTGAACAGATTATGTTTTTACCAGCAGTATTAAGCTTTTGTGTTTTTTTCATTTGAAATTAGTACCGTGTTTGTTTTTATGTTGTGTTCATGGGCTGTGTGATCTCTTTTATGGATTCTAGTCCTTTTCTGAGTTGAAGTACATAGGTGGATGACATCAAACAAACCAAGTCATTTGGCTCATGGATTGATTGTTCGTCTTGCTGTTACTGCAGCCTTGTTGTCATATGTAGCTCAGATAAAGTTTTTTCTTTCATAGGTAAGAGCTGATATACTGTACTCCCACATTACAAAGAGTAAGAGTATATCTGGCATCTGCATGATGCTTTTTCGTACTGCGTGATGCTTAAGGTTCTACCACCAGATATACATGTATAAATCTGTTCTGTTCTGTGACAGTCATGCTCGCACGTGCAGACTGCTTGTTTTAATATGGAAGGTCTCTGAAATGGGGTGAGGTTAAACACTGCTGTTGTCACTCAGGTTAAACCAGCTCAGAACAATCAAGGACAATCCTCAGGACCAAATACTGAAGCTGGGGAACATTACCAGGCTAAACCTATTGATACTGACAAACAGAAGGCAAAAGGTTTTTGATGATATGAAAACAACTGAAGATTATTAATGTGTTCTGTTGCAACATAGGACCTTTTAAGTAAAGAACACGGAATTTTTATATACTGCTAATGAAGCACATGTTTTTGTGTTTTTATGTCCCTTGAACTTGATAAAGTATATAGGATTTATTGTCTGGTTCAGTGGTTATGGTATTTTACCAGACTGAATGTAATATTTCAGTTGCTCAAGCAGTACAACACAGTATATAACAAGTAGCTGAGCTGGTAGCAGTCTCACACATCATTTTAAGTGCTTCTTAAAGCAATGGCACTCTCACCTACATCATAGAAGTTGCTTATAATAAGGGATTCTGATATTAAAAATACACAGCAGAATCTTTCTAGACAGGTAACTGTTGTGTACAAAAGGTTAGAAGAATAAAAGACCAACAGATTGTATATTAACAGGACTATCAGGCACTACAGTAAAAAAGTTGTAAGCAATACTGTATGCAAGTCAGGAATGCCTCATGTTTTAATATTTGTTCGGGTGAATGTGTTAATTTTTTTAAAGAAAAGCCGTACTTAAAAGCCATAAGTGTTGTTACTCTTATTTATATGTAGCCTTTGTGAAAGTATGTTTGTGTTAATTAGCTATTGAAAGCAATGAGTACCTGTTTTTTCTACTCTCATGCCACCCTAGTTACCAAAAAGGAATTGCAAATGTATTCATAATTTGTGAGAAAAAGCTATCTTAAAATATATAAAATCACATTTATAGTTACAATTATGTAGAAATTACAAAGGTTTCAAAGGTATAATTCAAAGACACCAGTACTTGACTATTTACTGTACGTCAGTGTACTGTATAAACCATTGTTACGTTTGATTTAAGAATGTGAATGGATTTACAGTACATGGCCACAGTTACCTTGGTAACATGGATAAAACAGAGAACTTTCACTGATTTAAGTATTGACTTCATCTCTACAGTATGGTAGCTGCACAGTGGCATGTTTCTATAATTCAGTACCCGTGATAACAGAAACAAAACATGGAAAAAAAATCATTTTAATTTCCTTACTGCTCAACTGTTCTTTTTTTCTTTTTAAATTTAAAGCCAAGGTTTCACTATTCTTTTTATAAGTTTTATTTAAAAAAGTTGTTTTTTTCATATTCATATTTGTAAATCCTGTAATTTTCTGCATGTGTTGAGTTCCTTTTTTATTTAAATAAATTTCATTTGATTTTTGTTTCTGTGTCCTCATTTGTATTGTTGTTTCTGTATTTTTTCCTTTACAGGAATGTTATCAAACAGGACAAAGCACAAGTAAGGTAAAAAAAAAGATTGAAATAGAGGAGTTCACGTGTGCTTTTATTGACTATGACCTTGATATCTTTTTACAGAATTCCCAGATATAAAATTTAAAATATATCAAAATGTATTAATTGACAGTCACTGGGGGAGCCAGAGCATTATCTAGCAAGCAACCGGTTCAAGGTAGGGTGCACTCTGGATGAGACACGTTTATTTAAGTTATTGATAATCCTTCTTGATATTTCTGTTATTCTCCATTTTCATAGCCAACTAAAATGTAACAAGATATGTATTAAATACTTATATTTCCAGTTTCATAGTTATACTTTCTTGGGTTCACTATGTCGATTTATTACACATTTTTAGTTAGCATTTTTCTATTCGACAGTATGTTGTGTGTTGTTGCAGCGTACTTTGAGCTTCTTGAATAGCATTCCGAATTAAAATAAATATTCTTACATATTAATAAACTATAAGTCTTAAAACATCTTGAAAAAACACAGATGAAGATAACAACACTTTTTTCAAATTGAAACCCATATGTAACTTTCAATGCCATGGTTAAATCACAACATTGCTTCAGATACTCAGATTTTTATGTGACTGCTCTCAGTCAGATGGAAATTTGGATCATTGTAAGTGGAATCAGTGCATCAGTATCATTTCCTCAGTGTGTGTAATTGTTGCTAAACTCCTTAGACTATGGTTGTGTGAAAGAAAAAAAAACAACATCATGGTTTTCAAAATCAAGATAATGTTTAGTCCTTTCTTTTTCAGAATAAAATCAATTCCTAAATAAAAGGGGGAATACAGATGATGTAGTCATGAGCAGAAGCAGCTCCTCGGGTGGCCAAAAGCTGCATTTGTAAATCTGAGCTGATGCTGGATATTTTCATCGATATCATGGTTCTGCAAAAGACACTTCCAAGGTGAAGTGGAAGTATGAAGTGCTCTGTGTTTTTTAGACATTTATCGTGAACTCAAAATGGTAGCACCACTGCACCCAAGAAATTAGCATGTTGAGAGTTTTAATCACCATAATTTTGGCTTAACCTGCTTAGCCGAGGGCTCACGTCCTGTCCATAGGACAAGGAAGCTAGGACCCCCATGTGGAGTGAAGAGTGACAAAAGGCTGATTGCAGAGGCAGAGATGGGCGGGGAACAGAAGACATATGCAAGGTGAAAGAAGAGAGTTACGTGTAATATTTATAATGTTTCAGGTGAGGAAATGTCAGGATTGATGATGAGTTACTGACAACTGAAGCTGATTGTCTTCTCTCCCAAACTTACATTATAAACCTCATTTCAACAACTGAAGGAGAGGTTGTAGTTTTGGACCAGAGCTTATGAGGACCATATGAGGTTAACAGTAGAGAGATCTCTCTGTTTTCACATCTGGTCTTGGTTAAGGCTTGAGAGCTTTTATGTATACTTGAAAATGTTTTACTGTACATTGGCTGGGTCCTGAAAGTGCTTTTACACTGATTTTCCATGGACATTTGTGTTTTCTGCAAACACTGTGAGTCAGTTTAATAGACATCAAAGACAGACAGTCCAGCAGTTGCAGCAGCAGACCGCCCTTCTGCTCTGTACATCTTTGTGATTCCTGGCACAGGCAATGATATTGTCAAGTATAGACCATAGATGCTGCATTTGCAAAAAAAAAGAAGTAGTCTCTTGGAGTTGACATTTCCATTTCTTTTCTTGCCAATGGTTCCATTCCAGAGTGGCTTCTTTTCCAGTTCTCAGATTGAAGTCTCCAAGCAGAACTACAGTAAGTGTGCCCTATTTTTTGATTCCTCATAGAATTTCATTAAGCATGGCATAGAAAGCTTTCTTGGTTTCATAAGGGTGTAAGGTTTCTGCTTATATGTACTGTATTATTAACATTTAATTTACTAAGAAAAATACAAATATTTTTTCTTTTCACTTATAATATCTTTCCGTTTATTTTCGTTATATATACAGTATATCTACTCGGTTTTCTTATTTTAACTATTTTTGATTTCTTAGAATTCACTGCAGATATTTACTTTTAATGAAATTACTGATTTTTTAAAATACATTTTCAGGTAGCTATGTTCATGAGATTATTAGATTGTTTTTTCTATTTCTGTTTTTTTTTTTTGCATCTCCTGTTCCAATCAGATTGCTTGAACGGTCAACTCCTAATATGTAAATGTCACTCAATGTGATGAAAAGTCCAGGACATCATGGCATAACTGCCAGGGTTAGATTGGTCAACTTGTTGAACATCATTTATGGTTTATAAACCCACCTGTGCCTTGAAGGATAAGCAGGAAGACAAGACAACAACCAGAGGGCTCTGACTGCAGACCCTGGGGGAGACTTCATGAACACCTTTTCTGCTCTGTAGGGAAGCAGAGTACTATTATATCCCCACTAATAACAGGCATTAAATGTTATTGTTTTAACATTTTCTGTGTAGTATTAATTTTCAATGGTCTATATCGATCATTCTGTCTTGGGCCTCTGTCCTCTCATTCAATCCTAGAAAAGAGAAATTGACCTTTTCATCTTTTAAAAGGGGAACAGTATACTAAAAAGCTCAATTCATTTTCACCCCAATAACTTCCCTTACAAGCGGCACATGCAAAAGTCATGTAACCTCATCGGTTCCCAGCTAATTTGTAATGAAGAGTTGAAAGGTGTTAATTGATTCAGACAACGTAGTTTATGATTCCAATCCAAAATTTGACTAAAGTAGTCAGCTTCTTGTTTCCTTGTTTCCTTACCTCCTATCTGGTTGGCTTTATCAATGTCATATCTGTGGAGTTCTTGGGCCAAGAAAAGTAGCACAGCACTCTGGAAAGTGGTTGTCTGGCCTCTCCATGAGTGTCCTGATGTTCCAGGTCCCAGCTTTCAATATTTTCTCATTGGACTCTTGGAACAGCTGCCTTCATATCAGATCATCTCTAGGAGCTTCCAAGCATCACTATACTATTCTCATTGTCTTCAGCAGATCAGCAGATCGTTTGGAGGCTTGGAGAATGTGCTGGAGATGAACGATGCTAGTGTGTAACATATTTTTATTGTGCAGAAAGCCTCCTCATGCATTTTTAGAAAACTAGACCCTGATCAAACGGTGGAGGTGTCATCTTGCTGCAGCCTTCATCCACCCTAAACAGCTGCTGGGATGTTCCAGGTAGTAAATCTTCTTCCAGCTGTTCTGCTGCTGTGGAGCTGGTTACCAGGCTGATGTGTGATTAGTATGGAGCAGGAATCCTAGCAGGCCTTCAGAGAAACCAAAGCAGACCAGAGTCTGTAGAGTCCTTCCATGCTTCATCATGTACGTTTAACTGTACCAAAGAGCCTACCTTTTTTCAGTTGATCTAATATGTTCCTCACTTAGAAGAATCAAGATTATGTAGCTAATTTATTTTTAATATAAAGTTCTTTTAAACTCATGCTTTGCAAACCATTCTATTTAAAATGCTTTAGAGCATATACTTTATGTATTGATATAATTGCAGCCATATCACCCTACAACTCACAACTGGCTGTCCCCTGAAGCTAAGCAGGTGTGAGCCTGGCCATTACCTGGATGGGAAACCTCCTGGGAAAAAAGGTTGCTGCTGGAAGAGGTGTTAGTTGGGCCAGCATGAGGCACTCACCATGCGGTCTGTGTGAGTCCTAATGCCCCAGTATAGTGACGGGGGCACTATGCCATAAAAAGGCGCTGTCCTTCAGATGAGACGTAAAACCTAGGTCCTGACTCTCTGTGGTCATTAAAAATCCCAGGGTGTTTCTTGAAAAGTGTAGGGTTGTTACCCCAGCATCCCGACCAAATTTCCCATTGGACCTTACCAATCATGGCCTCCTAATAATCCCCATCTATGAATTGGCTTCATCACTCTGTTCTCCTCCCCACTGATAGCTGATGTGTGGTGAGCGTTCTGGTGCACTATGGCTGCCGTTGCATCATCCAGGTGGGGCTGGACATTGCTGGTGGTGGAGAGGAGTCTCCATTACCTGTGAGTGGAGTATCCAGAGAAGCGCTATATAAGTGTAAGCAATTATTATTATTATTAATTGCAACTTAACAGCTGTTTTAGTTACTGTATGTGGCAGAAAAAGACAATACCTACCAATAAAAGAGAAATAAGAAAAGAACTACTGTGAATTTTGTTTCTTTTATTCATTGTCTAGAAACAGGAAATATGGTGCAGGTTTTTGAGAGCTGTTATGAGGATGTAATATTCATCTGCTGATACTCATGATGCAGAGAGTTAATGAAGGCCTTCTTTCATGATCACATTAACAGAGTATCATGCCTCTGATTAGACTTGAGACTGAGAGCCTGTGAGACTGTATTCTAAGATGGGGTGTGAGTATTTCTTTAAT